TTATTTTTTGATGAATGATAATCATTTGTTTTTTTAAGAAACAAATACAGCATTTGGCTTTCACGGTTTGCTTTACTGATAATCTCATTATTATTTTGCATGCAGAAACATAAAATTTGCAAGACTTTATAATTTTTGTAAATTTTCCAGATTCTTATAAATAATCTTTAAATTATTGTGAGCTAATACTATGCTGTATGACTTCATGAATAAAACATTCTGCAGGGTAACTTAAAAGGATTAATTGTGGTGGAATTTGAGTTGACTTGTTCAAAATTAGATGCATAACGTTCATCAAATTCCAGTCAGATAGCTTTGCTCAGCATGTGTGTATTAATAATAATCTAAGGACAGTTTAATCCTTTCTTGGGAAATGTTCCAATATAACCTTAATCAAAAAATGCATACTGTATGCATTAGTAAATCTATTTTAATTTTTATTAAAGTTTAAGAATTTTAAATATTGTGTTAAATTATACAGATAAAAAAGAAATAGAAATTATAGCTTTCCAATTACAACTATGGAAATTTTCAAAATGATCATGAAATTGAAAATTCAACTGAGACTATTATTAGACCTGTATTGTAAATAATAACTAATGCATTCTATATAAGTGCCCTTAAAAGATAGACAATTGTAGAATGTATTTGACATTTATAAATTGTCTTTCTTGAGTCAATAAAATATATTATACTTTGGGCTTACATCTTTGCCTTTATGTTTTATTCTATGTCATCCTAGAAACTTACCAACTTACCTGATATATCAGTGTTGTTTGTGCACATGTGCATTCATGAGAAGACAGATATGGGTGAGTCAGGAAGACCACAGAGGACATCTTTTCAGGTTGTCTCAGAAAGCAAAGTTTGAAATTTGACAAAAATTAAAAAGCTGCTTAACAGTGGTGTGTGAAAAAGCTGATTTTGTCTGGACTCACTTTTATTTGATATTGATGGCCAGGCAGGTCTCAAATGGTCCCACAAATACTTGGAAACACTCAGTTTAAATAACTCTATATATTCAGGCATCTCCTAGAAAGGAAGAAAAGTAAGAACTTTGTTATCTTTCTTTTCTTTTCTTTTTTTTTATTTCCTACAACTAATTTATAGTTTAAGTTAAAAAAGTGTCAGGTATTTACTGTGTCAGACAGAATCTTAGGTATTGAAGGTAAACCTGGTCATAAAATATATATTAGTCTCTTACATCACTACTATGCTTGGGAATTATATGTGTGGTTTTTTTTTGTGTTTTTTTTTTTTTTTTTTTTTACAAAATCACAGCCCAGATTCATATTTGCTTAATTTCCTAAAAAATAATTTCTAGTGTTTTTATGTAAGGATTCTGGCTGTGGAAATATATAGGACAGTGTTCCTCTGATGAGCAAACTCCTGGAGGGTAACAGGCACCATGTTTTCTATACTTGTAATATTTTGCAATTTCTCCCATGAACTAGTAAGATTACTAATACATGTGCAAAGCCTAGCTGCTGTGGCAACGCACTGCATGAGGAGGCTCTTGGCTAGAGTCTTAACAGCCTCAATTTTGATCTCAGGCGCTCAGTTTCCTTGGGAATAAAGGAACTCTCCTGTTAGACAACCACAGTGTTTCACCAAGCTCTGCTGAGCCTGAACCTGTCCACATGACAGCAACTTCAAACATGGACTTTCTTCAGAGCTCCACAAACCTCCTCACATTGCACATTCCAACTACAGTATGTGACTGAGAAAGAAGCTGCATAATGTTGCTAACTCTGTAACCTGTCTAATGACACAGTGAACAATAATGTACTGCTGATGCCACTGACCTGATGTAACCTATTGATATAAATAAGGCTGGCAGCTTGGACAAGGGCTTTTCTGCCTTTCTATCATTCTGCTCTTCTGCCACTTGCCTCTGCACCTTGCTTCTGTCTCCATTTGATTTTCTTACATTTATAACCTCATAAAAACTTTGCTTTTACTGAAACAGTTTAAATGCCTACAAAACAACCTTGGAAGACATATGTCCACATGTTAAGTATATTATTACTAAGTTGAGAAATAATATATTTATTGATATTTTATTAAAAACTTTAACCTTTGTTTGGATTTGCATTTTATCAAAATGCCTTTTAACAGTAACACAGCTAGTGAATTTTTGAATTTATTTTATCAGGTAATGAATACTAATTTATGCTTTCATTCTTTGCCCTAAAACCTTTTGAGTCCACTGATTTGTTCAACACATTCACCTACTAAATATTCATTAAAGGCCTATTTTCTCCTTGCTTTTGTTTTTGTTTACCTCATGTTTTAGCCTTAAAATTCAGGGATTTTTTTAAAGAAGAAAATCCTTTCAAAATATTATAATTTAAAGGATGAATTAGTTACCTATTCCTGTGTGACAAATCATTCTAAATATTAGAACTTTAAAATAACGTCTAAAGATTTCTCGTCAGCTGGTAGATCAGATGCATTCTTTTCTCCTTCTCGCTCAGTTCTTCTTGAGGTTGTCAGATAACCTTGGATCAGGGATGTGGTTCTAATGATTTTGCCTGGGCTCACTTTTATTTGGTATTGGTGGCTAGGCAGGTCTCAAATGGTTCCAGTTGGAACTCCTGGATTCTTCACATGAAGTGAGATAGAAAACTTCCCATTTTATCTGTAGAGTTGTGTGAGGGAAAAAAAAAATACTATATATGTGTGTGTGTGTGTGTGTGTGTGTGTATGTGTGTATATATATATATATATATATATATATATATATATATATATAATTATAACAAACTTGCCTGAAACTCCAATTAAAAAATACTATATATATGTATATATATAGTATGTGTATATATACATATATGTATATATACACACACATATACATAGTATTTTTTTAATTGGAGTTTCAGGCAAGTTTGTTATGCACCAACTGCCAATTCTGAAATTGTTCAAATTAAAATGTTGCTGTTAAGAAACAAACAAAACAACAACAAAAATAACACAAAAAAAACATGAAATATGTGACTTTGATCCTGTAACATTCAATGGGTAGAAGTGGAAAAAAATGGAGCATATAACTTAAATGAAGGCTATGAAGAAATAAAGAAAATGTTTCTAGAGGAAGGTAAATTGACAACTGTTGTTGTCTAGTAGCAAAACAATTCAGAATACTATCACTAGGAAAATTGAGAAACAGAAACTTTTATAGAATGAGCATTTAAGTTTGACTAAAGGGATCTTCAGGTAAAATAGGAAAAATATCAGCTAATTGCTTCCTGCTATTTCTGATAACTACCAGAAGGAGTGGAGTCTGAAGACAGTGGCCAATTTGTACCTATAATGAAAAAATAAATAAAAAACAGGTCTTGTTAGGTTACAAAGTAGCTTCTCATTTGCAATTTCCCAGTCCCTCCTCAAGGGAAGAAAAAAATTCTTCACATTTAATTAGAGAAGCACGTAACAACAAAGCTTTAGGGATATTATAATAGAACCTCAATTAGTAATTTTTAAATAAATTAAAATCCTAGATCCTAGACTTCAGTTTTTTTAAGTACAAAAGATTAAAGTTGAAAGAAGTCTGGATGAGAAATTTTTCAAAGTCTCTTTAAGATATATAAGACACAATTCTAGCTAGTGACTGCAGTGTCATCCTGATTATTCATTTTTTTTCTCTTTTAAAGCTTCATTCATTCACTCATCGACTATTTCAATAGACATTTATTAGGAAATTCTGGTATAAAGTGGCCAGGAAGAAAAACATGAAAAATTCAAAAGATTGCTATTATGCCTGCATTCTAAAAAATGGAGACAATCATACTATAAATGCTGAGACAGAAAATTGCATGTCTAGCTGTGCTTGTAAGTGTCAGGGTAGAGCTAAATCACACATTTAAAAATGATATTGGCGAATATTCTGAAGAAGACTATGGCAAGTTAAAATACGGCATGAATTTTACCATAAAAGTCTCTTTAGCTTTGCTTCATAATCTATAAACATATAAGGTGACTTTGCTATAAATATGTTTTAAATAAAAATGTGTCCCTTTTAGGTACGAAAGAAGTAATTTTACCTTGGAAATAAATGATTATCTCACATAAGAAATAACCTGTACATTCAATTTTACAATATGTAGAATAAGTAATAAGATGCAGAAAGGAGAAAGCAGAGAACAATAACAATAATGCTAATATTTATTTTATTACTTATATGCTAATTGTAGTTCTTAATATGTTTATATATGTAAAAGTGATGATCCTCTAACTTATGTATTAGTTATACTCTTTCCATTTTATAGATTAGGCAATGAAATTTGAGAATTCTTCCAGATGATATAAATAATAAGGGAACAAAAGTGCAGGGTATGGAAATCTAAAAGATCCATGATCCATGGCTGTAATGTCTATACTTTGGAACATACCATGGGAAAGAATTAAAACATATCTCACGTGGTTCTGAATCATAGAAATAATATTACGTTAAGAATCTAGATTAATATGATTATATATTGTTAGTGATTTGAAAATACCTGAGAGAATTAAATTGTTCACTGAAGATATAAAAAATCTATATATATATATATTTTTTTTTTTCTAAAAACAACTCTAAACCATAATGCCTAGCATCCAGTAAAAGATTATGAGAACAATAATACCACAGGGAAACATGAATAGGAAGCAACAGACAATAGAAAATCATTAACAATAATTTTAGCTATTAAAATTATCAGACATACTATGAAACAATCAGACCTACTACAAAGTATGAAGTATAAGTCAATCTACAAAATTTTAGAAAAAAAAAATGGAAACCATAAAAATTTGGCATTAAAAATATTTTTAGTTGTTGATAGAAATTTTATTTTATTTATTTTTTCAAATGTGGTACTGAGAATCAAATCCTTTACCTCACACAAGTACTCTACTACTGAGCCACAGCAACAGCCCTGGCATGATTTTTAAAAAATAAAACAAGTAGAAAGAAAATATCTGTAATAAATAATAATAATAATAATTGAGAATTTAAGGAAAATCTAGTAATCTTCACAAAATTTTATACCACCTTTGTGCAGAGCCATGCTAACCTTTTCTGTATCATTTCCATCTCAATACAACTGAATTCAAAGAAAGTACAAAAGAACAATCACAACACTAATAGAAAACCAAAAATCAAAGTAAGATTGATTTCACAGAAACAAGTGTCACTGAATGCTCATTTTTCAACAGCAACAATGAAAGTAGCACAGAAGTTCAGTATCTCCATTTTTGAATTAACAGTCAATTTAGGATTTTAGGACTAATAAATATTATTATAGAAATAACCATGAATGACATTTTCTGACTTATGGTACAAAGTCTTTAATAAAAATTTCAATTTTATTTGTATGTATGAATGTTTTTAGATTTTTTTTTTAATTGTGATTTTCAACTAATTGGTACATTTCATTTAAGTTTTCAAGTTTTGGGAGAAATGTATTATATTATCCCTTAATCTTTTTTAATTGACTTTAATATCTATACTGAATTTTCTATTTTATTCATCACAATGATAATTTATGTTCTCTCTTTTTCTCAGTCAGTTCTGGAAAGTTTTGTCATTATAGTAATAATTCTACACTTGAAATTTTGCATTAGTGATATTCTCTAGTGAAGATGTTTTCTATTTCAATGCTATATCATTTAAAAAAAATCTTGCTGTTATTCTTTTCTCTCTTTTCTTATATTTTGGGTTTAATTTTCTGTTCTTTTGCCTGATACTTTAGTTAGAAGCTTAGATCATTGATTTTTTTTTTGAATTTCATTTCCTTCTAATGTATGTATTCAATGCACCAAATTTCTTTCCACTGTTATTAAAAGTTATTATTAAGTACATACAAAATTCTATTATTTTGTATGAAGCTTTAATGTATGTCATCTCATTGACCACCAGGTAAATTCCACTGATCTGACTGGATCAGGAGATATCCCCTACCTCCTTCACCTCTTCATGTGCATCCCTCCTGCAGCTGTGTCCTCAGTCTAAGAGGATGAACATCCTACTCGGGAGAACTATCCTTTGATCAAGGGTATTACAGTAGTTACTTTCTTCTGCAAACAAAATTCAATTATTACATCTTCTTGTTAAAGTAAGCACTTAATGATTATAATAAAGATCTCCTTACTTTTTGCAATGCTTACTATGTGAAACACTCCATCATCTTATTGTTATAAACCCATGCCAGGTGATTCATATGTTAAATATCTTTCATATATTTTCTTCAGATGTATAGACCTTACCTTGTTTTTTCTGTGAGTGTGATATATTTAGTTACTTTTATGTTTAATTCAGTGTCATAACTTAACTTCATTTAAGTGTTCATTCATTTAAGGTTTAATATAATTACTTATATATTTTTATTATGGACTATTATATTGTTATTTGTTATCTGTTTTTCTTGATTCTTGTATGATCAATGTAAGTTTTCATTTATTTATTTTTTGGGGTATTATAATTAAAATTTTTTTTTCTATTCTATCTTTTATTCATTTTACTTCATTAATTGGGTTCTTGAGTATTCACTTTTTTGGCACTTTATTAATATTTCTTGGGCAGTTTTGGTATCATTGCATTTAACAGATACACTAAAAGTCACAAAAAATACATTTGTAACTAATTAGTTTATCATAAATTTGTTCTCTTACCATAAGAAAAAGTGCAGTCTACTATTTCTAGTCATCATACAATTTTGATTTTGTTCTGCGGAGAGCCATAGCCAAGTAGGAATGATGCATGGCATTTTTGGTTGAAAGGTGACCCCAGCAAGCCATTGAGATGATAATGATTATGTTAAGATGGGCATTCAATTGGAGATTAGACCCCTGCTGTCTGCCTAGGCCTGCTACTTTGGAGCTCTCCCAGGACTCCTGGAGAGTTCCCATTGGATGGGGAAGTGTGGTAGGAGGGAATTCCGGAGGAGGGATTTCCTGTTCGTGTAGTGTGTCCTGGGAGAAGGCCTCATATGTGGCATTTTCGCGGGAGTTTTGGAAATAAAGTTTGTTCCTGCTTGAGTGGCTCGTGATTTGTGCCCAGCCAGACTGCACCATTTGGTGGCCCATACGGGGAATGCCTGAAGCTCAGAGGTAAGTGAAATTGCTCGCCCCTGAGGGAAGGCGAGAGAATGGGTGACCATTTCAAAAAACAATGTGTTCTTGTTTTGATTTATTTTGTTTCTGTTTCAAACTGCCTATCCCTAGAACTTTCTTAGGCAAACTGGGAAAAATGGTTGGCTCAAGGTTTGAAATTTTTCGGCCCTGAGGAAGAGAAAATTGATACAACGATTTTTTTGTTCCGTTTTTGTTTCATTCTGTTTCGGTTTTGTTTTGTGTTATCTTATTGGGTTGCGTTATCTTTATAGTAGATTAGAAAATAGTAAAAAACAAACCAAAAGAGTGTTAAGTAAATTGTTAGAGGTTCAGACCGTGGAGAAAGACATTTTAGATCAAGCAAAAGAGAAGGTCTCTTGAGCTAGTCAGACAGAGGAAGAAAATTTAAAGGAAAATGGGCTATTAGGGAAAAAGCTACAACAGGAGGCTGCTACTAACACCGTTCTATCACCAGAGGGCATAATTCAACCAACAGCTCCATCTATAGAGACAGCTGAGTGGCCCTCAAGCCCCATAGTTGATAGATGGAATCCTGAGACAGGACCTCAAAGATTAGCATGCCCTGTACTTGAGCAGGCAGGAGGGCAGCGAATTCACTGTGCTCTAGATTTCAAAACAGTGAAGCAGTTAAAGGAGGCCGTAACAACCTATGGTCCCCAAACACCCTTCACTATAAGCATGGTCAAATCCATTACCAACTTGGACATGACGCCAGCAGATTGGGCTAGCATGTGTAAATCTGTGCGAAAGGGAGGACAATATTTGTTATGGAAGGTTGCCAATGAGGAATTTTGCACGGAGACAGCTAGGCGAAATGCAGCAGCCGGTTACCTTCAAAGAAATCTAGATATGTTGTTAGGAAAAGGACCTTATGAGGGTCAATGGCAACAAATTGAATATGATTCTGCTATATATACACAAATTGCTGCAAACACAGTTAGGGCATGGAAGATTTTACAAGGACATGGAGATTTACAAGGTCAATTATCTAAGGTAATACAGAGAGCTAATGAACCTTATGCTGAATTTGTAGATAGGCTTATTCAAACAGCTGCCAGAGTTTTTGGGGATACAGAACAAGCAATGCCATTAATAAAACAACTGGCTTATGACCAAGCAAATCATTGCTGCAGAGAGGTTATTAGACCATGGAAACATGAAGATTTAAACACATATATTAAATTATGTAGAGACATTAATGAACAAGGGCAAGTCTTGGCAGCTGCAGTACAACAGGCTTTAGATGCCAGGCCAAAAGCATGCTACAATTGTGAACAAACAGGACATTTTAAAAGTAATTGCCCCATAGGAAAAGGGTTTAACAAAACTAGGTATGAAAGGAATAGAATACCGGGTATTTGCCCACGATGCTGTAGAGGGAGACATTGGGCTAATGAATGCCATTCTCAAACCACCATAGAGGGTATTCCATTATCAAAAAACAGACAAGGACCAGGTGTTTACCCACGATATCATGGAGAAAGGCATCAGGCTCCATTGCCAAAAAACGGACAGGGGGGCCCAATGCTCCGGGGCCCACAACCGCAAATATACGGGGCAATGGAGGAACCCAGCAACACTATCAGGGTAGTGCCCAGGACACATTATCCATTAAATCCCTCATCAGACAAACCATAGGGAGTGCAGGGTTGGACATCTGCGCCTCCGCCAGAGCAGTACTAACTCCAGAGGTGGGAGTTCAAATAATTCCCACAGGAGTAAAAGGACCTCTTCCCCAAGGAACAGTAGGCTTATTATTGGGATGCAGTTCTTCTACACTAAAAGGACTTATGATAAGTCCTGGGGTAATTGATCCCAATTATGAAGGTGAAATAAAAATTATAGCTAGTTCTCCAAAAGGTATATCAGTAATTTCACCAGGAGATAGAATAGACAGTTATTAATAATACCCAGCCTACATAATAAATTTTCCAGTCATACTGTAGAAAGAGGTTCCAAGGGATTAGGCTCCACAGGTGTAGATTGGGCTATGCTGTCTTTAAATTTAGATTCTTGCCCGATGCTAAAACTAAATATTGAAGGACATGAATTTAATGGGCTACTGCTGAGAGCCATTGCCAAGTAGGACTGACATATGGCAATTTCTTTGTCAGCCTACCCAATGTTGCTTAGAGGAAGGACTCTCCATATTGGACCCAGGTCATTTGCAGTGACACTGCATGTAAGTTGACCTTGCTCAAGGACCAGGGCGGATCTGGGTTTAGGGCGGATCAGGGTTTAGGGCTCTCCTTGGGTTTAGGGCGGTTCCAGGTTTAAGGTGTACCCTGCTGGGAATAGGGCGTATCCTGCTGCCTCAGGCGTGCCCACTCCTTGAGTTCCCGTTGAGTTCTCGTTGAGTTCTCGCGGGATTCAGAGCCTGGTGGATTTTGACCAGAACGTGGATTTGGCCCAGAACGTGTGTAGAGTGCCGGTGTGAGTTCGGGAATAAAGAGTTGCTGTTTGAATCTACAAGGTGTGTGGTGGCTCGTGATTTTGTGCCCAGCCAGACTGCGGCAGGCTACTTGATACAGGTGCTGACCTTAGCATCATATCTCGTCAAGAATGGCCAAAACATTGGCCATTACAACAAGCCACTCAAACTCTTTGAGGCCTAGGAGTGGCGATTAATCCTCATAGAAGTACAATGGTATTAGATTGGAAGGATCCTGAAGGATGTAAAGGAACTATACAGCCATATGTATTGGATCATCTTCCCGTAAATTTATGGGGATGAGATGTCCTAGATCAATTAGGACTAATATTAACAAATAACCTCAATCCAAATGCTCCCACTATTATGGCTAGTATAGTTTACGATCTGGTATTGTGATGCCTCCTGCTTCACTTTCCTTACTAGGGATTACTTTGTCTATTCTGGGTCTCTTATTCTTACAAATGAATTCTATGATTGTCCTTTCTATTTCTATGGATAATGTCATTGGGATTTTATAGGAATTGCATTAAATATGTATAATGCTGTTGGTATTATGGC